GAATAGAAATAATGTATGGTTATCTGCATCTTTCCGTCTATCATGTATAGTTACTTTTTAAACACGAAAATCGCATTCAGCATGACACGCAAGCGGTTGCCGTGGTAATGACCAACCAGCTTGTTAAAGCGAATGAATAATCCTGTATCTGAGGCAAAATTACTAAATATGCAGCGCGAGTTATATATTTCTTACTCCAAACAATTAGCCACTGAAACAGCTTATAGAGTCTTCTTCAAGGCTGTGCTGGTTGCATTTGAGGTAGCTGCTACAGGTCATGGGGTTTCTCAGATTTCGCTTGAGACCGGTTTGAGAGCTTGAGAGCATTATTAGCCTCGATAGTAATCGTGTCTCCTTCATTGCGTATTTTTATATTTTGAATACATCCCTCCACTGCATACTGTAACCCCTTTTGCCTCGATCTGGAGGATATCGCGGAGGTATTGCTCCAAAAAAGGTCACTGACCCACATCTTCCCGTCATGGCAATCTGTGGCGCTGGTCGTGTTTGACCATTTGTTTGACGGGCGTAGCAACAATAACTAGGGGGCGTGGCTTTTGCGAACGGTCAATTGGGCATCGTTTAAATGCCACGGCCGACCTGAGCATTGTTTCTGACCATGTCCATCCCTTTATGGCCACCCCTTTATGGCCACCATGTACCCATCCTCTGATGGCTACTTCCAGCAGGATAATGCACCATGTCACAAAGCTCGAATCATTTCAAAATGGTTTCTTGAACATGACAATGAGTTCACTGTACTAAAATGGCCCCCACAGTCACCAGATCTCAGCCCAATAGAGCATCTTTGGGATGTGGTGGAACGGGAGCTTCGTGCCCTGGATGTGCATCCCACAAATCTCCATCAACTGCAAGATGCTATCCTATCAATATGGGCCAACATTTCTAAAGAATGCTTTCAGCACCTTGTTGAATCAATGCCACGTAGAATTAAGGCAGTTCTGACGGCGAAAGGGGGTCAAACACAGTATTAGTATGGTGTTCCTAATAATCCTTTAGGTAAGTGTATAGCAGTATAAATGTGAGAAAAGGGTTGAGGTTGGACACTGTCTCTGGACGTATACGAGCGAGTAAATATGAGCATCATATGGCCACCAAAACCACTCCTCAGTTTACAATCAATATTACACACAGTGTGATATCAGGGGAGGGGAACTGTACAGGGAGGATGAAAGAAACCAGACGGTTTTCACCTCCATTTGCCAATGGATCAATAAATACACGTCAGCTTCAACACTGTGTGGATCACATAAACTTTTTCCACAGGTCAGAGTGGGAGTGCTTTAGATTAACATCACAGTCGTCGCCGCTATTTTTCCATTACACCCGGGAATGATGAACAAGCATTTCTCATTAACTGCAATTTTCTAGCTAATGTTGCTCAAGTAATGTATTATCTGCCAGACATAGCTATGCGATTTCACAACTGTATAACAGGATACATTAAAACCATGTGTATACTAAAGATAACAGTTATATACCATACCTACACCGTGCTGCGTCATATCTGGAAATAGGCCTATACAAATATCTAACTGTTATACTTGAGGTAATCTAGGTTAGTTCACCCCAAAATAAAAATGTTTTCATGTTGTTCCAACCCTGTAAGACTTTCGTTCATCTTCGGAACACAAATTAAGATATTTTTGATTAAATCTGAGAGCTGGATCACTCATAGGCTTCTTAAGGGATCGAAACTGGCCGGCCCAGAAAAGTTATTAAAGACATCGTTAAAATAGTCCGAGTGACTACAGTGGCTCAATCTTAAGTTTATCAAGCGACGAGAATACTTTTTGTGCGCAAAAAAAACAAACAAAAATAACGACTTTATTCAACTATTCATTTCCTTCTCTGTGGGCCTCGAGATTTCACGTAGTGAAACTATGCAAAGCTTCTATTGTACGTCACACGCATCACACACATGAGTCATGACCAGCGTCGGCCAATAGTGAGCCTATACGTGTGACGTGCAACACAGAAGCTTTGCTTAGTTTACGGCCCACAGAGAAGGAAATGAATAGTTGAATAAAGTCGTTATTTTTTTGCGCACAAAAAGTATTCGTCGCTTGATAAACTTGATTGAGCCACTGTAATCACTCGGACTATTTTAACGATGTCTTTCATAACTTTTGGGCCGGCCAGTTTCTATCCCTTAAGAGGCCTATGGAGGAGTGATCCAGCTCTCAGATTTAATAAAAAATATCTTCATTTGTGTCCCGAAGATGAACGAAAGTCTTACGGGGTTGGAACAACACGAGGGTCAGTCATTACTGACAGAATTTTCATTTTGGGGTGAACTAACCCTTTAAACATATATGACTCGTGAAAAGGCCGAGTAGGCTAATAATTAATTATTTTCACACTCCTAAAGTTTAATACTTATGGTAAAGATTTGAACAAGCATTAAACCCCAAGTATAAGCCATTATAGTGATGTCGTGACTCGTGACTAAGTTTAGCAATCAGGACTCAGGAGGACAAAAGGCAGGAAAAATGCAGATCTGATAGGTTTCTTTCATTCTTTACCCTTCTGAAGTTCTGAATTTTTAATTAAGAGTTAAGATGAAAGAAAAAAAAAGATATAATATAAAAATATTTCTTTTTCATTCTGGGAGATTAGTTCAATGTTATTATCTCTTATAAATTATCAAGTAAATGTTTGTTCACGGAGAGAAATGCGAAACAACGGCGCCATCCTCTGTCCAGCTTGTGTATTTCACTCCCAATCACATCTAGTGCAGCGAGTGGTTTTTTGACTCCCAACAGTCCATTACACGCACTAAACTAAAAATGTAAATCAAGATTATTATTTAAAAATCAAATTCGAGTATTCCAGAACATTTAGCAGTTGAATGTTCAGAGCTCCCGCTCATTGTAACCAATGAATTTACATCATGACTCTTCCAGTTGATAAAGTTTTTATAAACATATATTTATTGCTCACAAAATCTACTCTATATTTATAGCTTGGCTTAAATAGTATTCGTTATAAAAATACCCATGGATTGAGTTATACGATTTTACTGACGTACATGATTTTTTCAGGGCTAGAAATCCCACTTTTAGGCTACCTCAGTACTATCAAGGTTTTCCATGGCCGTGGGAATCTTGGTTATTCTTCTAAATAAATAAATAGAATTTCATTAAATACAAATAAAAATCCCACTAATCTAGTGATTCACACCAATATCCACAAGGCCTCATGTCATATTAAAGATTCAACTGCTTTTGATATGATATGCAAGACTTGTTCCACACTTTATGAAGCAAGCTGTCAAAAACTCATAGATTTAACAATGAAATATTTTAATTTAGCCTAAGTGCAAATGAGGTCCTTCTGAGATGCCCTGAGTGAACATGGCAGCAGAACAAGCACATCATTAAAAGGGCAAGTCATTTAGCGTCGCACATCTTATGCAAACGGGAAAAGGAGATGTGTCCCAATTTAACCCCAGATTATTTACAGCTCCATCCAGCACAATCCTCAGAGTTAACCCAAATATAGGCCAGATTTGACTGGAGGAGACCTCTCGGGTGAGTGAGCGGATTAGCTTGGAGCTAATGACAAAACCTAACAAGTCACAGTTGCATATGACAACAAGAACATCGAACACAGAAGTGTATGCATAAACATATACATTTTATTTTTTTATTGTAAAACACAGATACATATTTCACATATTATCCATACAGATTTCACATGTTGAGTATTCCCCGTCCTGTCGCTCATTTTCTAACCCAGCCAACATGAAACTCAAGTCCAGAATAGAGTAAGATATGCTATGTAAAGCTCTTCCACAGGAGTAATATGTTTTGGCAAGAAAAAAAAACAAAAACACAATTATGAGACCAATAGCAAGCCCTTCATAGTAATCATAGTCTTACAAGCAACATAACTCAATACATCGTCTATCCACCCCTCAAAATAACTCCCGTTCGACAGTTCCACCTTTATCCGTCGTCTCGCAAGCAGAGCGCAAATGAAATTTGGAGCACTTGACAACAAGAGGTGTGAAACCCACGAGAGCAGGAGAAAGCAGCAGCAGGTTCTTCTTCTGTGGTTGAATGTATAATCTACACCAAAGTGCAAATATATATAGATATTTGTGTGTGTATATTCACAGATTGATAACATACATAGTTGACTACAAGATCTCTTGCAAGAAAGTTGAGGCTTACGAGTAATATGGCACATTTCAAGACCATGAATCAAACAAAAGTCACAGACCTAACTAGAATAACAATATGCAATGCAAAGTTTACCAGACGTTAATATCGCAGAACGGTACATTTATAAAGCATAATAGCACTGATAGCATTATGATTATCTATGGAACTATATTTTTACAGTTATGCTATTTGCGTCGTTCTGTTGTACATACTTTACATGTCCACGCTCCCACAAAGTTTGAAGTCTTCAGAGACAAAACCCACATTAAAAAAGGTTTAAACCAGCTGACGATAACCACTGTCAACCAAGTACATGCCTTACAGCCCATAAAGACACTCTTCAAGTCGTACGGCGCCATTAAACCGCAGAGTATGAGTATGACGTCGGGTTTTTACAATGTGGACGTCTTCATAAACATCCAGTTTTCGTTCCGTTCCGAGTCTTTAAAAGGAGAAGGCAATACACGTAAGCAGCATGACTTCACCACAGGGGTCACACGCAAAAGTTTCCGCTCAGTTTGTATTGAAGGCAGCACTGTGACCCTGGACTAATTACCACAATGTTTTAGCATTATTATTATAGTTTTTTGTTATATATTTATTTACTCTATTTTGGAGCGATGAAAGAACACTCATGAAAGGAGATGTTCTCTGCATTTTAAATGCTGCCGTACTAGGCATGGACTTCAACTCGTGTGCGACTAAAGAGACGTTCTGTCCTCGAAATTTTTGTCAGGTCTGGAGACGTTTGCTCCAAAAGGGCTCATGCAGTTATGCTTGGTCCATTCACTTCTGCTGGGACAATTCAAATTGCTTCTGAATTTAGTTTTTTTTTTTTTTTTTGGTAAGAGATCACAGAATTTGACATTCTAATACTCTCTGAAGTAAACTTTAGATTTTTTTTCTTTTTAAAGACAGAGTGATCTTAGTAGGACAAGCAATGTAAGAGAGAAAGAGAGATACAGGATAAGACAATCCTTCACTTTGCAGTCATCATCTGGACAAACTCTGTGAAAAGAGACAGAAAAACAGATAATAGGAATCTAATGATTCCTGACACTGACAGGATTTTTCTTTCTATTATGAAATAATATGTGCTGGTACATGGTTTTAGCAAAACATTTTGGCCAAACATTTTCTATGTTGCTTTTTTATTTGAAAGTTCATTTTCAAGTTTCTGTAATCACTTGGTGAAGAAAAATATATACACGATTAAAAAATAAAAGTATATATATATATATATATAACCTTTTTAAATAAATATATACACACACAACAAAAGTTTCAGGGTCAGTAAGATGTTTTAAATGTTTTTGATAGAAGTTTCTTCTGCTCACCAAGGCTGCATTTATTTGGTCAAAAATACAATAAAAACAATAATATTGTGAAATATTATTATAATTTAAAATAGCCGTTTTATAATGTGAACATATTTTAAAATGTAATTTATTCCTGTGATGCAAAGCTGAATTTTTAGCATCATTATTCCAGTCTTCAGTGTCACATGATCCTTCAGAAATCATAATATGCTGATTTGCTCCTCAAACACATTTATGATCAATGTTAAAAGCAGATGTCCTGCTTAATATTTTAGTAAATACCTGAAACATTTTTCAGGATTCTTTGATGAATTTGTAAAAAAAAGTGAAGACATAAACAAATGATTTGTGTCTTTCAGTCCTTGCTGAATAAAATGATTAATTTCTTTCAAACAAATTAACTGACCCTAAACCTTTAAATGAAAGTGGATATATAAATGTAAAATGCACTTGAAGGTTAAGCATTCAAAATAGCAATATTAATTGGAATGCAAGACTTTATCAGGTACAAGTCCTTCCTATTGTTAGATATATCACCCATGTACTGTCACTGAATTACATTACACCATCACATTCTAGAAGTTATGTGTTGAACGTTCAATGCAGGTGTAAAGAATGAATGCAAGACAAAACACTTTCCCTGGAAAACTAATTAAAAAATGAATTCGCACAACAGTGAACATGAACGACCTCCATCTAAATAAATAAAGTTTGTATAAATGTCATCCTGGTTACGCAATAAAATGTTCCTGATTGATTGGGGCACAGCTGCTCACCTTCATAGTTGACTTGACCGTCTCCATCGATATCCGCCTCTCGTATCATCTCGTCCACTTCCTCGTCGGTCAACTTCTCGCCCAGATTGGTCATGACGTGACGGAGCTCGGCTGCACTGATGTAGCCGTTTCCATCCTGAGAAGAGAATATTATGCCTCATCACACATCAGGTCCTTTTGTGGTGTACTATAAATTAGGGCTGTCACGATTCCTCAATTAAATTCAAGTACCCGATTTAAAACAAATCCTCAATTGCAATTTACCCATGTAGAGTAACCGGCAAAATACCGTAAGCGGAGCATTCCACGGACGAGAATCCATGAACCGCATTATCACACGTTTTCTAAGGCTGCACGATATATTAAAACCATTTAAAAACCATACTATAGCATATAAAGCACATATATATTTATTATGCGCTTTAATTATTTACATGCGTGTAGGTTACCGGCTACGTCTACATTAATCCAGATACATTTGAGTTGAGTAAAAGAGTTTTCCAAAAGTTTCTCGTCCACACAAAAATGTCGGAAAACGCTAAATTCACCTTACTGCGCATGCCTAAACCCTCATAAAAGCTCACTGAGATGATATGCGGAAGAAGACATAATAAAGTTGTCACGCAATTCTTCTGCCAGGATCATTTTATTTAGCGAAATATCTCCCCATTCACTGATACGCGTCCAGGCCGCACTCAGTCACTGCTCTCATATTTTGTCGCAGGATAGCAAATGCGAATACATTTTCGTTCATCTTTGCAGGACTGTGATGTAAAGAATGTGCAAATTAACATTTTACCAAACTGTGTGAAAGTGAATAGCACATAACGGGCACAATACTGGTATAAACATGAATGTCTATCGGCACATTATGCGTCACATGACTAAACGTGCCTCATCGTTTTCAAGTACCTCTGTTTTCATGGTCCACACTGCAACGCTAAAACGCCGTTTTCAAATTTATCCACTTTGGAAAGCGTTTTCAAAAAGCTTCGTTTTCGTTCATAAAACGCCATCTCAGTGTGGACGGAAGACCAAAGCGGAGAGTGAAAGATGCGTTTTCAAACAAAAACGTATTAGTGAGGACAAGGCCTCAGAGCGGCCCAGGGGTGTCCAAACTCGTTCCTGGAGGGCCACTGACCTGTAGAGCTCAGCTCCCAAGCAGCCTCAACACACCTGCCTCGAAGTTTCTAGTATGCTTAGTAAGACCTTGATTAGCTGGGTCAGGTGTTTAGTTATGGTTTGTGCTGAACTCTGCAGGACAGTGGCCCTCCAGAAGCAGGATTGGACACCTCTGGACTGAGTGAACAAATGAACCTGAAAAGATTTCCATGTCAAAGAAGGTGGAGCGAAGCCTCAGACCACACCCACCTATTCTGCAATGGTCACGGACCAAAGGCAGTTCAAAGGTGGTTTACAGCCGGTGCAAATTTTTGCAGGAATTGTGCAAACGAACAGTTTTCCAACCACCGAAACAAACATTTATTTGCTGAAATCTTGTTCGAAAATACATCACACCCATTTGTTCTTTAATTTTGCTCTAAGTATATCTGAGTCTTAAGAAGTCAACTTTCATCACTTGTTTTTCTGAATAAGGACACATTAAAATGATAAAAATGTGATTTCATTTAGGGTTTTTTAATTGACTTTATTTGATTTTGTGTTTAAGTATCCGACTACAAAATGTCCATCCCTAGTTCAAAGCAAGAGGTGAAGCAATCAAGAGACCCCAAATGCAACTGAAGCCGTTTGAAGCATGGCCTGAAGCAGCCTGAGCCCACATGGTGAATAATCTAACCCACTGTCTGGAAACACACCTGCACAGTCCTTGCGTAACACTTCATACACTAGCAGCTTACACAGTTTTCCTGGATGATTGGTCGACTTGTCGTTTTTAGGAAAGCCTTGTATGCTTAAACCTGATGCTGCATAACAATGGCACGTTCTTGTGCTCGAAAGTATCCACCTTGTACATTCATTAAGATTCTTGATGATTACTATTCATGAATCGGTTCAGTGCTTTAATCTGGTTTCAACTTCATGGCAGCCGCTGTTAATGGTGACATTTCCATACCTTGTCAAAGACTCTGAAAGCTTCTCGGATTTCCTCTTCACTGTCCGTGTCCTTCATTTTCCTCGCCATCATGGTTAGGAACTCTGGGAAGTCTATAGTTCCGTTGCCTGTGGACAGACAGTACCATGTTGTTGCCATTTACCACAAGATTAAACGAAAAGAAAAACAAACAATTATCTTCATATCCTTGCACCAGTGCATCTGCTTCAGGCAATAGGGCTTGGGCGTCGTGACGTCATTACTTGGCGTGGCCGCCATGCCGACAGCTTCGTGAATGCAAACATACAGCAAGTGAACAAGGAGAAGCAGCAGAGTTGGGAGAAATTAAAGAAAAAAAGATGTTAAAATCCCTAAAAGGATGTGGAATTTACCGGGATACGTTAAATAGGGAAACCAGGGAAGCCAACAAAATCGGCACTTTTAACGGAAGTCACTTTTATGAAATTTCCAACAAAAAGTCGTCAAACAGTGGGAACACAGTAATCCGGACAAAGGTAACTTTAAGATGCGCTCCACCTAGCTGCTAGTTTAGTAACCGTTACTGCTAACAACCATTCACACATGTACTTTTAACTATGCGTTTCAAAACTGTAGTTAGATACGTTAGCTGTCAACCCTCCCGTTTTTTCCGGGTTTCTCACTTATTTGAGCTGTTTTCCCGCTGTCTTCCCGTTTGAGTATTTTCCTGTAAAATATCCCGTATTATAATACTCTTATGTAACATTAACGTTAGCCCTTCCATCGGACCTGTCAGTCTCTGTACTGTTGTCCTGTTGCTACCCCTTTGCCCTAAGCATCGTTTTGCTTACTAACTTAAGTTTTGCTTAAAACAACTACTAACTACACTTTGAAACACATAGTTAAAAGTATGTTACATGTGTGAATGGTTGTTAGCACTAACTGTTACTAAACTAGCAGCTAGGTGGACCGCAGTTTACCTTTGTCCGGATTAAGTTACTGTGCTCCCACTGTTTGTTGGAAATTTCACATGGATCCAAACCGTTAAAAGTGCCGCACATACCGGTCCCTGGCTTCCCTATTTAACGTATCCCGGTAAATTCCACATCCTTTTAGGGATTTTAACATCTTTTTTTCTTTTCTTTCTCCCAACTCTGCTGCTTCTCCTCGTTCGACTTGCTGTATGTTTACATTCGCGAAGCTGTCAACATGGCCGCCACGTCCCAGAATGCAACGCGGCGCCCAAGCCCTATACTCTTCAATATCTTTTCAAAGTTTCGATGCCATGAACTTTGCAAACTTTGGCAAGCTTATGTTGAGATCTTCCAAAGAAGTGCCTGTTCTAGAAGCCTGACATCTTCTAAACTAGGGCTAGAATGGCAAGATGACATAATCGTTGAGTCTACCTCGATCGATTCGGAACTTCAAAATGGCATTGTAAAGTCCTCAAAGGGGAAGCACTTGGGGAAGTTTGCGAGTGTAAGCCTAAAACTGACATTAAACGCAGCCTTGTACTCACATGACGATCCTTGTCAATGCTACTCTTCCCTCATGAGAAAAACACCTAACACCTGCTTGATCTAGGACAGGGGTGTTCAATCCTGCTCCTGGAGGTCCAACATCCTTGCAGAGTGTATCTCCAACACACTGGCCTGGAAGTTTCTAATAATCCCTGGTTCAGGTGAGTTTGATTAGGATTGGAGGTGAACTCTGCAGGATTGTGGCCCCTCCAGGAGCCGGATTGGACACCCTTGATCTGGGAGGGTATTGTATTGTAACTTTATGTAGATGAAAAGCATCTGCTACATAAGAAGCCACATAACTTTAATGGACTAACATAAGGCACTTATCGTATCAAACAGAAAGAACAGCGGGACAGTGGAACGTTACAAACGTGTTCCTGGTCTCACCATCAGCGTCGACCTCGTTGATCATATCCTGGAGCTCAGCCTCAGTGGGGTTCTGACCCAATGAGCGCATGACTGTGCCCAACTCTTTGGTGGTAATGGTGCCATCGCCATCTTTGTCGAAGAGTGAGAACGCCTCCTTGAACTCTGTTTTGAATTACATACATGGTAAGTACAGTACATGTACACTGCAATGACAAAGGAGCTTTATTTTTGAAGTCTAACCCTCTTTGCACACTTTGGCAAGTAGGTCATCTTGGCACTCCTTGCATAAAGAAAATTTGCATTCTACCAACAGTATACTGCAAAGAGTGAAAGTAGCATGGTCAAGTGTCAATCAGAACATCATTTACCACTTATCCTCATAGTTACAGCTTACAACTTTTGCACAGTTACAGCTTTAAAGTAGGGCTGCAACGATTAGTCGACGTTGTCGACAATGTCGACAATAAAAATTTGTCGACAAATATCTTTGTTGTCGAGTAGTCGTTTGATCTCACGTGACCTAATGTAAGGGCCTGCAATCCCGCGATTTGACCGCTACGGCGCTGTAGCGCTAGAGTGTAGTGCAGCCCTTACAAATGCTATTGCGGTAGAAGAGAAAACAGCGCGAATTATGACAGTGCAAACGAATCCGAACTAGCAAGGTTTAGGTTTGGGAAAGTTTCACAAAACTTCAAATCAAGAATGCTGTCGTGTGCAATTTTCACGGGAGCACAATGCATGTTGGAGTACAAGAGGAAACATCCCGGCAAAAGAGGAGCCGGTGAGAAGTGAGTGTTCTCCAGCTGGAGCTTAGCCTACTAACCAGCGGTAAATCTCTCTTTATTAGAGAATGCAATACTACTAATAATAGTAATAATATTATCAATAGTAATATAATTACAGTAATGTGATGACTTATTTTGTATAGAATAAAGCTTGATCGAGCTTAGGAGTCAGGGCTGTTTTTATTATTGTAACACTATTAGTATACATTAGGTATTATTATAGTCTTATCATTTGCCTGTATTTTGTTCAATAATCATGAAGACTTACAAAACGAGATGTTATATCCTTCCTATGACATAGGAAGAATATCATGACAGTTACTTTATCATACTATAAATTAAAAGGTGAATGAGAACGTCTCTGTCAGCTCAATTGTCATGTAAAAAAAGATTGTAATTTTATAATTATAATAATTGTTTGCAGATTCATATTTTACCATTCTTTGTGTCCTGAAGTAAATGTCCCTTTTTCTGTTTCAGTTCTAAGAAAAGCAGTGGGCCTATTAAACAATGCTTAGAGAGCATTTGTGAGTGATTTGAGTTGGACCGAAATCTGAAAACTTAAAGAGAATGACCTGTTTAGTTGGCTCAAAGTTCATTAAAACAACTATTTCAAAAGCTGAAGTGATTTTCTTTTTTTATATTATAGTTAGAATATGTATAACTCAATGTTTTAACTACTTGGAAAAGCTGAATAATCGTTCCAAACTTACTGATTAGTTTGCGAAATAATCGATGATTAGTCGATTAATCGTTCTAATAATCGTTAGATTAATCGATTATCAAAATAATCGTTTGTTGCAGCCCTACTTTAAAGCCGCGCAAATTACACACTATTAGACATATGAACATTAGAGGAGTGCAGAGTCTATTCTGTGCACCCACTGTAAGGTCAGCATCCCACTAGACCAGTGGTTTCGAAGGACAGGATATTTCTAATGTATTGACAACCTTTTTTATTATTAACAAAAACTACATAAACCAATATATTCAAATTATTAAATAAAATAATTCCATAAGTTTCAAGAACTCCATGTTCTTCGTGGTTCTTGTCTTACTTTTTATGACTAGTAAATTTACATGATTTTCCCAGTTGTTTCGGGAGACGTTTTTATTTTTTACTCGCAAATAGCAACTTCTTGGCAATTTATACCTAACATATTTCAGAGCTCGACAACTTATGAAAATTATACATATTAATTACAGAAATTCTCATGACTTAACATCTTAGTCATTTCCATGACTTTTTTTCAGGTCTAGAAATAGTGCTTTTAAAATTCCCCTCACATATCCAGTGGAAGTCCGTGGAAACCCTGGTTTGAAATAAAAATTACGTTGCAAAGGGAATTAATTGAAATAACAAACAGCATGTCGGTTTAGCCAATTTATATAATTTTGCTCATTTATTATTTGCTTTGTCTTTTTAAACTAATTTTAAGCCATCTTGCGACCCCCTAGTCGAAAATAACTGCACTAAATGTTTGTTCAGCTGATATTACTTGAAAATGAATCTCAAGAAAAATCAAGGGCAGTGAATTAGTCTGTCATCCCTCTTCCATTCTTAATCAAGTTGCTTGGAGTAGGCTAGTGGGACACCGTCTTAACATGTTCTTCAGGTCAGAGTTATATTTATAATCCCATTTATCAGCACAATCTTTTGCAATATAAGCTTCTATAGGCACGTGATTGTCTTCTGCTATCGGTGCGTACCGATGATGTTGTGTAATAAGACATTCCCACTTCTTTAGTCGTGTTTACGAGCCCATCGCATTCAAATTTTGACTTGAGGGGCATCAGTGGCCTTAGTGACCATTTTGAAGATGACTGTCAGAGTTCACTCACCAGCAATCTGTTCCTCGGTCAGCTGATCTGCCTGCATTAGAAAAGAGAGGAAGAGAAAGAGAAAGTCAATCAGCTCAGTGTCACATCACTACAAGACAAGCTCCAGTTTTGCAGTGCACACACACACCTCTGACTAAATGAGTATAATGAAGGACGTGCATAATAATACTCTTTTAAAAATATCCACGGAAGTTATAATTAGACAGTGCCACTTAGGGGGTCATGAATGCGACACACTTAAAATGATTGCGCTTCTCTCTGACACAGAGTTCATTATTCAATTATTAAAGACGAGAGGATTCATCTGGGCACGTGCTTCACTCGCCGTGATTCAGCTGTGACTTTTGTGAGAAGTGCCATGCCTTGTATTCAAAGACGGGTGATTCATAAAGCTTGGAGCTTAAAATGGACAGGGTGTAAAATGATCTATGAGAATACAGCGGACACGGGTCTGACTCATCCACATATGAGGCATTGACTTTAGCTTGAATACATTTGGCTTACCATTTGTGAGATGAGAAAACAGCTGATAAAAATGGTTACCCCAATAACAAGAGCACACAAGCTCTAATCAAATTTTGTACTGTAAAAGCAGAAGAGGAACTAGACTTTTCTGAACATGATGCGTATGAGCTTCCTATGCAAAGCTCAACGTGCCGTTGTCAAATTGTTAGTGGAAATGGTGCTTTATAGTTCTCAAATAGCCATAGGGGTTACTGACACGATGATAACTTTTTTGTCCTGGATCTATTAAGTATAAAAAAATTTAAACAATTCATATGCAATGATTTGAACACACCTCTTCAATCATGAGCATGTTTTAATTTCTGTGTTTATTCATCTATCAATTCATCAAATGTCTTGCATGGGATCATTCTGTGATACTTCTGCATCTTTTTTAAAAGCTTGATGCTGGTCACTATATGAATGATATTTTTAAATTTCTCCTTTTGTGGTCCAAAAAGGAACGAAGGGAATACTGCATTAGAACGACACTATGGGTGGGCGAGTAAATAATGAAATGATGAGAGAAAAGTTTCTCCGGCTACTTTGACGCGTGTATGGTGAGGGAGTGGCATAGGTTAGTTCTCACAACGAGACCTGTTAAATCTCAAACCTCAGCTTTCTGACGCAGCCCGTATCAGACCTCGGGTGGACATGTCCTCCAGGACCAGCTACACGAATGGTTAAATGCCTAGTTTGGATGCAGGTGGGCTGCCGTCTCTGTTGCTGCCGGCTAACATATTCTGCGCAACGCTTCTCAGGCCCGTTACTGCATTTCAATGACTGCAGCAAATTAAGTGGAGCATGATGGGACAAATGTTTGTCATGCAACAAGAGTCCTCTCCGAGTTGCTTTCCAATTTGATGAGCAAGAGCGTGTGTGTGTGCGCGCGTGTGCAATGGGTGGACTTAGTGATTTTGGGGCCCTAAGCAATTCCAGGCATGGGTCCCCAACACACCAACTCCGCACAAGTTATTTTACCTTTGTAACCCTTATTTTGCTCTCTCTTTCTCACAACACTCAACCATTTTTCTACAACTGTAAATTAACCATATGCCAAAATCTTAATGTAATGTAATCTGTAATCATTAACACAATGCTTAACGCCAAATATTTTTTTTATTTTTGCTTGCCCTGGCAAAATTTCCACTGGCCCCCCACAAAAAAGTAATAAATATGTAAATAATAATTATGTAAATTAAAGGTTATGAAACCAAATTTTAGATACCAGTGACATTTCTCAATTCTACATTCCAATTTTGATTCCAAAAGCAAAAACAACTGGCCTTAACTAATATAAATCTCAAATATTATTAGAGATAAGTAAACAGGCATTAATAAAATAAGAACAAATAATAGCAATAGCATTAATAAATACAAAAGAACAAATTAAATAATCAGTACTTTTCAGGATTTTCAGTTAGGTCTAACAGTAACAGCAGTGAATGTGATTTCACCAAGTAGAATATGTGCCTAGATCAACATCCTTGTTGATCCTGGAACAACATTCCAATCAACCAATCAGATTTGAACGACGGGTTTACAGTTAGTATCAAGTTTAAGCTTATAACAAGGCTTAGGTGCTTCTACACAATTCTTTTTCACCTATCATTTCCCTCTGATTTTAGGGATAGGTTATAGGTAGGGTTAGGTTTAGTGGTGGGATAGGGTTAGGATTATGTTTTTCAACAGGAATGTTGATCCAGGAACATGTCTTTCTTGGCAAAATCACGGCGACCATCTAACAGTAGTTTTCAGGTAGCCTATAGAAATTGAATAAAGTAATTAAATGTAAAATAAAACTGCATAGTCTTCACTGTATAAATTAAATCTAGATATTATATTTAGCAGTAATTCAGTCAAGAGAAGCGAGTGATTTTTTTTCTCTGTCCTTTGTTGTTAAAAACATTAAAAACATAGACAGCAGCAGGATTTTTACGCTGCTGTCACTTTAAGAGCTAATGTCCAGATCGAATATTGTGTTACGGATGAGTTTTCTTTCTCGACGGTTTACGCTCACTTAAGCCATAACTGACTGTTTACTAGGATACTCGGCAAGACGGGCATTTTCACATAATTTAATGTGAATTTGTCCATTCAAGCGCAAGACGACGTGAAAGAGAATTCGATTAAGTATTCAGGCGCTGTCTGAGAAGTGGCACGTGTTCAGGATGTGTGCATGCACAAAAATGCTCACACAGTGCACAAGTACCAAATTGAACTTTTTCGCATCTTCTTGCGCTTGAATTTTTAAACTGGCAAGGCTTAAAAACACATGCAAATGATAAACTTTCGTGGCAATGCAGCACTGGCTTGATTGGGTCAGTGATGTCCGTCAATTGTCCTGGGGCAGTCCTTATCGTTGAGCCCTGACCAACTAATTAAAAGGTCCCTTTCCTAGTTTTCTCAGCCTTAGAAGTCACGTCCACGGACTGTTGACTGAGGCCATCCTTAAAAATATTCTTGTTTGCCGTAACCCGACCGACCCTGTCAATTTAGGACCGACCCAATTTTTTATTTTTTTTCCCTTTTAGTCCGACCGACTTGCCGGTTGTAAACTTGCATTAAGTTTATTGCAAACTTGATTTTTTTTTACTCTTCAAACAACTAATACAAATGCAATAAAATATCAATTATATTATAGCAAGCATAGGCTACGTTCTTTCTTTTAAATAAAAACCCGTGGCGTCATCTATATGATGATTAGGTTTACACCATTGGTTTACGCATGTCACACTATGGTCTGTGCGTTCGCTTCATTTCATTCACGGTCAATGGTTCGCGCTCGGTAATGGCTGCGGCGCGGCTGCTTGTGAAATACGTCTGCATGAGCCTACATTTAGGCGCTCATTATTCGAAATTTTTAATGGTCAAATAGGGAATAGATGTTAACGGCCTTTTCTCGGAGCGCGTCCAGCTAGTCACGATATGGCCGCCGCGAACGCGCGTCACACAGCAACGGCAGGCTCTGACAAACACACATAAGTATGGGAAGCCAAACACACCGAAAGTGGGACGAAACGGCGCGGTGTTACAGAGTTCGCGCAGCGCTGACATGTAATCTGTGCGGCTCAATGGGCCGAGACGCGCGAGCGCGACAGACTCGACAGCGCAGGGAGGAACTGTTTGCTTGCGCGACCTAATCTCACCAGCGCCGCGCTGACCAATAAAACAGCACATCCCATACCGAAATGTACTAAATTACACTAAAGAAAATCGACCATTCCATAATATGTCAGGACTACTTAATATAGTTTCTACAATGCGCCTAGCCATTTGACCTCACTGATTTCCGTTAATAATAGCAGATGTTTATGGGTCCAATTTAAACGAATAGTGCCAAATGCGCTGTTTTATTGGTTGGCGCGGCGCTGGTGAGATTAGTCATTTTAATTTATTTGTTTCCCTCTGAAAATCCACTCTTTTTCCCCAAATGAATGCAGCTGGAATTAATGCAATAAACATGTTTTTTGACAAAGATTTCAAATTGTTTGTTGTCTATAACCTGTATCAGAATGAGATTCGCAATGGTGCGCCCAAAGGCATGGGTTGAAGACACTGTCAGTGGCGTCACGATATGCAAATTTGTTTAAATTCATCCCGATGTAATCACCATGACCAAAATTTTCCTTTTTTTTTTCATTGAATTTTGAAAAAAAAAAATATAGACCTACCTACCGACCCTTTTTTTTTTTTTTTTTGCTGTTACTGCAAACCAAAATATTTTTAAGGATGGCCTGAGCATCTGATGCATAAGGGACAGAAAATTAGAAACTCTTTAAGAGTTTCAAAGTCGTCATCTGATTGGTTTAATTATACAGGATTTCCGTGGGACAAACACAACACAAAAAACAGCACACAGGCAAGTGTTAATGAATGACAATCCTGCTTTCTAATCAAAACACCGGACAGACACAGAGCTAGTCTCGCGTAGCCAGACCTTCAGATTGACGGGGAAAAGGTCTGAACTCCGTAGCAGATTTCGTTGGACAAAGACCACCCAAGTCTTATATGTCTGACCGACATATAAAGCAACCAATAACAGTTTGTTCGTTCGTCCTGTCCTGATAAGCGTTATTGTCACAGCTGTAAATTATACAACGGCATTCATCTTACATTAGGAGATTTGGCGTCATTACGGCTTTCTTTCCCAGGCGGTTCGTTAAAGAACGCTACACACACACACACGTCTCCCGGAAATCCTGTAGAATTAAATCAGATGACGACTTTAAAACTCCTTATGCTAACTAGCCCAAAGCCATTTTCTCCGGTGAGGGAGTGGGTTAGATCGCCGAATTTTGGATGGGGGTGGCGGGGTCAGAGCAGCAAATTTGTACGTCAATGGGGCATGGGCAACAATTTTAAAAATTCCCAGGGAAATTCGCGCATATGCAGTACCACTGGAACGGTCTACTAATCCCCTTGTTCACGAAGATGTAGGCCTAATACTAAAGTTAAAACTTTAATGATGACATCTTGAATATACAATAATATATATATATAAAAATAATGATATATTATTTATAGGCTTCAGAGTATTTGTTTGGGCCCCCTGATTCCCTGGGGCCCCAAGCGGCTGCTTACCTCGGTTATTGGTTAAGTCCGCCATTGGTCTGCACTGCAGATTTAGTGTCAGCGTGTTGCTGCACCAGCTATGATTTGGTTCAATGCAGGGGGAAAGGGGGAGGGGGACAACCAGGATCCTTCACTGCAGTTCAGCCTGCTGCAATATGCAACCTCACTGCCCACTCCATTCATATTTATGCCTTACACAGCTATGATCATTTGGGGCTGCAAGATGCTAAACTGCAGTTTTTTTGGTTGTTGTTGTTTTGACCAACCAGTGTGCAACAGCTACCCTACATGTTGCAACTTTGGCCCATGCAAATGCAACAGCCTCATATCCGCAGGACGTTTGCAAACTTCGTGAACGTGCATGCAATGCAAATATATGGAGGCAAAACAAGCTAAGACCGATTCAGATTATTCCAGAAATGAGGAACTTGAGCGCATATGCTTTTGCTTATGGTTATTTTTACACCACCACGCCCACACTTATCCTTCTGTTAAAGGCAATGAGCTCAGCCCATGTAAAATTAGCAGCCAGTCACTGTTCACACACACCGAGATGAGCAGAAGCACTGCGTTTATTCATCACGCATGATGCTTTACATACTAAACCCGCAATAGTAATGCATCTAACACACACTAAACTGTCAATGCTGTGGACAGACACCGTGCATGCTGTGCATTGCATTTCACATATGCATTCGCAACAACTAGAGTCCAATGTGACAAAAACAGCAAGTTTGTGTTAAAGAATATGCAAGACACATAATACAGAAACTGGTGCGCATGTGATTGACAGACTTCAGCTGGCGCGAGAGCAGCAGCGGGAACGCGCTAAAACGCAACGGAACTAATTTATTCATTTATCCCTTTCCAAAATCTCTTTTGGCCTAATTCATATTGATTGGTATATGTTTTTCGTATAATATAGATCACATGTTCATCTGTTGGATAGCACTAACTGGCTAATTAGCAGTTTGTTTAAATAAAAAATATCATAGCTACACATTCGGTAAAGCTAAAACACTCTTAATACGTTTTATATTGGTAAAGACAACGCGAAATTATTAGTAAAACCATAATTAGCTGTCAAACTCTGACAGGATGCTAAAGTGGCTAAACCGTTAGCAGGAAAAAAGAAACGACATAAACGTCAGGCTGAACTCACCATCGTTAAGCAATGTCCGTCCGGTAAATGTGTGTAAAATCAACTGCAGAGAGCTGGTTGTGTTTGATATGTTGCCGTATTAACGCAGGACCTGTTCCTGTGAGTGAGCGAGTGACTGACCCACCGCCGGATAGAGGTGTAGTAATGCGCTGCCGCTGCGCTCTGGCCTCATTCATACTGTATCCTTCCGCGCCAGCTCATCTTATTTCTGCACACATCACTATGGCAAGCCGTTTAGACTTTTTTTTTTTTCCATTCCCAGGATATGAATGTGATATGATATCAACCATTACATTTTCACTAGTTAAAATGTTATTTCTTGATATCAGGAATTAGATTTCTATTAGTAACAATGGCAATTTTTCATATCAGGAATTACTTTCCACTAGTAAAAATGTTTACTCTTGATATCAACAATGACATCATCACTTGCAGAAATACGAATTCTTGATTGGAATTTCAACTAGTAAGAAATCAATTCTCGATATCAACAATTGAATTTCTTCAATTGAAATTTTCTTACCAGTTGAAATTCCAATTTCACATAGGCTATCAGAAATTCAATTCTAGTAAAAAAATAAAATAAAAAAACCCATAATTTTTTATATCAATAATTACGTGGTTACTTGGGCAAATGTCTGTTTGCTCTTGATATAAACAAATGAATTGCTACTAGTAAAAATACATTTCAGATATCATAAATAACGGTAACACTGTACAATAAGGTTCAGTTAACATTAGTAAACTACATTAGTTAACATGAACTAATAATGAAATGCACTTATACAGCATTTATTAATCTTTGTGCATGTTAATTTCAACATTTACTAATATTTTATTAAAATCTTGTTAACATTAGTTAATGCTGTGTGAACTAACATGAACAAACAATGAGCAGCTTTATTTTTATTAACTAACATTAACAAAGATGAACAAATACAGTAACAAATGTATTATTCATGGTTAGTTTATGTTAGTTAACACATTAACTAATGTTAACTAATGAAACCTTATTGTAAAGTGTTACCGAAATAACAAATGGAAATGGAATTCCTGATTTCAAAAATTGCCATTTTAAAGGGCACCTATTATGCAAAATTCACTTTTACATGGTGTTTGAACATAAATGTGTTGGCAGTGTGTGTACACAACCACCCTATAATGCTAAAAATCCACCCAGTGCTTTTTTAAAAATCCCCATAAATCATAAGCATTGTCTCAGAACAAGCCGTTCTCAGATTCGGGGCAGTGTGACATACTTTTTTTTTTGCACAAGCCCCTCCCACGACTGTTGAGTGACACTGCTGTATTAGCATAGCCCCGCCCTGAGTGAGCTAAACACAGTCCGCCATTGTTTCAACGCCAGAGCAGCTGTAGACAAGAATGTCTGCTAAGCGATTGAGGTGTTTTGTTGTTGGATGTAAGAATGAACATAGCAGTCTTAATTTACTCAAAGAGTATAGAATTACTTCTATACTCTTTGCTCTTGGCCAGCAGCAGCAGCTAATTTGCATTTAAAGGGATACACACTAAACCGGCATGTTTTTCTGAGCCCCAAAAAGTGACAATTTAAACATGCTGTAAAAAATATGTTGGGTAATTTGAGCTAAAACTTCACATACACACCCTGAGGACATCAGAGAATTTTATATCTTGTGAAAAGGGGCATAATAGGTGCCCTTTAACTAGTGAAAATTGTTGATATCAATAACTCATATCTTGAGAATGAATAAAAGTAAAAACGGCTTGCCACACGTCACAGGCTATGAGTGTGAGGATGAATCGATGCCACCCACAGACATACATTGTCATTGTATCTGATTGCAGTTGAAGAATTGTAGTGAGATGAATGTCTAAAAGTTATTACTTAAAAAGCCATAATTATTACAAATAGCCATTAAAATCATGACATAGGCTACTAAATCGAAATTATGACAGTCATAATTTCGACTTTATCTCATAATTTTTCATTTAATCTCATAATCATGACTTAAAATGTCAATTTCATTTATTAGATCATAATTTTGACATTTTATTTCACACGAATTATATAAACACTGGCAGTGTTAATTTAACACTGGGAGTTTGGTTGTGGACTTGTAATCGATTTACTTTTTCTAAAATACAAAATTGTGTCATGAAACTATGACACAGTCTGATAAGTCCTTATCACTATCTGCTTGCAATCACATCACATCATTCTCTGTAGGGCACAGCTGATTGGTTCCTGCTATATCAGTAGCCAATGAGCTCGCTGCTCAACCTTCAAATACTTGGTTAGCGTTTGCTGTAGCAGTTTGCAGCGAGCTTTCAGAAACCCTCCACCTTCCCCAGCTCCACCTGTATAGATCTGCTACTGGTAATTCATGTATGCTTTATTGTACAGCGGCAGCATCTTACTTGCTCACAGCAGTGTGTCGTGTGTTTATTAGCAGTAGCAAGTCTCGTATTTGCTCTGAAGCAGCAGCAGAAATAACTACTGGCAGCAGCAGTGTAGCATCTATTCTGCCTAGACCAAACATATCAACATTGTTATATCCATTACCATGCCGAACACTCAGGGAGTTGTCATGACAGAACTGAAATACATGCAATCTTATTATTTGCAATCCAATAACTGTACATAATTATATTCAATCCACAAATAAGTTCAGGTTAACTCAGGTTCATTAAAGCTGCAGTCCATAGCTTTTTTGGGTTAAAAAATATACAAAATAGATTTTTGAGCAAATACATAACCAGCCAGTGTTCAAAACTATCTGCTTGCCTTAGCTCGATTCAAAGCGGTAAGCTTGTAATAATGTTTTTAATTCCAGTGGTACTGGTGGATTTCCACTGGAAATTCGAGCATGTCTTTGCATCATTACGTCACATCTGTACACATAAAGAAGGAGTCTCGGCTAGTAGGCTATATTGAGTCATTACGTCACATCTGTACACATAAAGAAGAGTCTCGGCTAGTAGGCTATATTGAGTCATTACGTCACATCTGTACACATAAAGAAGGAGTCTCGGCTAGTAGGCTATATTGAGTCATTACGTCACATCTGTACACATAAAGAAGAGTCTCGGCTAGTAGGCTATATTGCGTCATTACGTCACATCTGTACACATAAAGAAGGAGTCTCGGCTAGTAGGCTATATTGAGTCATTACGTCACATCTGTACACATAAAGAAGAGTCTCGGCTAGTAGGCTATATTGCGTCATTACGTCACATCTGTACACATAAAGAAGAGTCTCGGCTAGTAGGCTATATTGAGTCATTACGTCACATCTGTACACATAAAGAAGGAGTCTCGGCTAGTAGGCTATATTGAGTCATTACGTCACATCTGTACACATAAAGAAGGAGTCTCGGCTAGTAGGCTATATTGCGTCATTACGTCACATCTGTACACATAAAGAAGGAGTCTCGGCTAGTATAAGCTATATTGAGTCATTACGTCACATCTGTACACATAAAGAAGAGTCTCGGCTAGGCTATATTGAGTCATTACGTCACATCTGTACACATAAAGAAGGAGTCTCGGCTAGTAGGCTATATTGCGTCATTACGTCACATCTGTACACATAAAGAAGGAGTCTCGGCTAGTATAAGCTATATTGAGTCATTACGTCACATCTGTACACATAAAGAAGGAGTCTCGGCTAGTAGGCTATATTGAGTCATTACGTCACATCTGTACACATAAAGAAGGAGTCTCGGCTAGTAGGCTATATTGCGTCATTACGTCACATCTGTACACATAAAGAAGGAGTCTCGGCTAGTATAAGCTATATTGAGTCATTACGTCACATCTGTACACATAAAGAAGGAGTCTCGGCTAGTAGGCTATATTGAGTCATTACGTCACATCTGTACACATAAAGAAGAGTCTCGGCTAGTAGGCTATATTGAGTCATTACGTCACATCTGTACACATAAAGAAGAGTCTCGGCTAGTAGGCTATATTGAGTCATTACGTCACATCTGTACACATAAAGAAGGAGTCTCGGCTAGTAGGCTATATTGAGTCATTACGTCACATCTGTACACATAAAGAAGAGTCTCGGCTAGTAGGCTATATTGCGTCATTACGTCACATCTGTACACATAAAGAAGGAGTCTCGGCTAGTAGGCTATATTGAGTCATTACGTCACATCTGTACACATAAAGAAGAGTCTCGGCTAGTAGGCTATATTGAGTCATTACGTCACATCTGTACACATAAAGAAGAGTCTCGGCTAGTAGGCTATATTGAGTCATTACGTCACATCTGTACACATAAAGAAGAGTCTCGGCTAGTAGGCTATATTGAGTCATTACGTCACATCTGTACACATAAAGAAGAGTCTCGGCTAGTAGGCTATATTGAGTCATTACGTCACATCTGTACACATAAAGAAGAGTCTCGGCTAGTAGGCTATATTGAGTCATTACGTCACATCTGTACACATAAAGAAGGAGTCTCGGCTAGTAGGCTATATTGAGTCATTACGTCACATCTGTACACATAAAGAAGAGTCTCGGCTAGTAGGCTATATTGCGTCATTACGTCACATCTGTACACATAAAGAAGGAGTCTCGGCTAGTAGGCTATATTGAGTCATTACGTCACATCTGTACACATAAAGAAGAGTCTCGGCTAGTAGGCTATATTGAGTCATTACGTCACATCTGTACACATAAAGAAGAGTCTCGGCTAGTAGGCTATATTGAGTCATTACGTCACATCTGTACACATAAAGAAGAGTCTCGGCTAGTGGGCTATATTGAGTCATTACGTCACATCTGTACACATAAAGAAGAGTCTCGGCTAGTAGGCTATATTGAGTCATTACGTCACATCTGTACACATAAAGAAGGAGTCTCGGCTAGTAGGCTATATTGAGTCATTACGTCACATCTGTACACATAAAGAAGAGTCTCGGCTAGGCTATATTGAGTCATTACGTCACATCTGTACACATAAAGAAGAGTCTCGGCTAGTAGGCTATATTGAGTCATTACGTCACATCTGTACACATAAAGAAGAGTCTCGGCTAGGCTATATTGAGTCATTACGTCACATCTGTACACATAAAGAAGAGTCTCGGCTAGGCTATATTGAGTCATTACGTCACATCTGTACACATAAAGAAGAGTCTCGGCTAGGCTATATTGAGTCATTACGTCA